GCTCATGCTGAAGACCAAGCAGCAGGTCAAGAAGTCAGTATGAAGCAGATGGTTATAGACACACAGCAAGAACTGAAAAGGGTTGGTGGCATGCTCCAAGGACACATGGGACAGATTTTGTTCCCATAGATGTTGTGTGTAACATGAATATATCTAAGGGCATTCTTGAAATGACCAGAAAGTCCAGTAGTGTGGATGCCAACACATTGATTCTGCCAAAGGCAGCCCGTGGGAGTTTCCTCTGAAGCAGCATAAATGGATCCTTTATTTCTCAGTTTTCCAATGGTGAAATGTGGAATAATAGCACTTCAGTCATACTAACTCCATATTGGGAGGATAAATTAACTATTGGCCTGTACATAGAAATTGTGGTAACATGGATCATAGAAGAAAGCTATATATAGCCACATAACCAATATAGATAAATGTAGCTATAAATAAAACCCCTAAGTACTACTGCAATACAAATAATAAATAACAGGCAAAAAGACTTAGTCATACATGCAGGTGGATTTCCAATTATGGAAGAAGCACTTTTACAGAAAGCAGAGTAGAGCACATTAAGTGGGATGGAAAAGAGAAAGATAATAAATCATGCTACAAATAAATTATTCTGAAAAATGGCCATCACAGGCAAAGGTATGTTCTTACACTTTTGGAATGCAGTTTTTCTAGTAAATTGAATAAACAGACAGCTAAGAAGTATATATGAGCATCCTCCAATGTGTATAAAAGCCACTTTTTTGTGGAAAAAAAAATGGATACCCATGTAGGTTGCTCAGTCTAAAGAAGGATACAAGTATTTCTTTGAGCAATGGAGTTAATGAAGCATTTGTGGAGAACAGTTTACTACCTTGCCAAGAATTTATAGCCCTATAAATCCTCATACTGTATTTTACTTTGAAATAACCTCCCTGTATAAAGCCCCAAGATGCAACAGCATATATGCATGGGGAGGCTTGCCAAACTTTCCTCCAGCTGATTCAGGGAATACACGCATCAGAAGGAAAGAATGGAGAGGAGCAGAAGGCAGATTTTGTGTAGTCAGTTTTGGAGTCCTCATGGACAGGGAGTCAGTGCCACGCAAAGATCTTTTCTCATAGCCTCATAGAGTAAAAGGGGACAGAGCACCACACCCAGATGATGGATAAAGGCCAGCTCTTTTATTACCAGTATCCTAACGTTCCTGCATCTGATACCCGCTTCACATTTTGGAAGCCTTCAGGAGTTGCCGTAGGTGAGCAGTGCCCAGACAGCAGATGACAGGTACATACAGAGACCTCTGTCTCCGATGACAAAGCCAGAGCCAGGTCCAGCAGTGCTCTTGCTTCAGGGTTACGGGTAAGCCTAAACCCAGCAATGCTGTGCTGCCCAGAGATAGCTAAGCTGGCTGCAAACAACCTGTCTGGAACTACAGTGGTGCAGTTGCCAGAGAGGCAAAGGGTGCGTTGAGCAGTACCCAGCATGATGGTTCCAGGACATTGACTGCCTCTGCAGAGCCACTCTCTGCACTTCTGTGAGCTTCTGCGGAGCAGCTCTGTGTATCCACACCTTTGCACTTCACAGCCCAGTGCAGATATGCCCTCCCAGTGCTTTTTTCTTTCATTACAGCTCCCAAAAAGCAGCCAAGGGGGCTGACAGCTGTATCCCTCCTCTTTGCTGGTTCTCCTGATAGCTGAGTGATCCAACCATCCTTTGAAAAGCCGATAGGTTTTCTGCTTTTCCCAGAACTAGGTTCTGGGATGCCTGCTGGCCCTCAGTTTTGCTATTTGGAAGAGAATGAGGAGGTTGCAGAGGGGCATTTTCTTTACCCAGTGCATTGTTGCAGCACAGCAGATGGGACTTTGTCCTTCAGCAAAGCAATCTCGGATCATTCTGATCTGATTTGCTGATAGGAAACAGCAAATACCACGTAAATACGATTATAATCAAAACATAATTTGAGAGGTTATGGTAAAATTTGTTACAGTAAGAGTACTTTGTAGGTACAGGCATACTGCTGTCTTATAACTACCCAGTAGTTCTAGGGCATTCCCTATAAAAGCAATAGTTATACTCTGAAGGCAAAGCAACTTCTAGCGTGTATACAGCATATGCCAGCAAAATTCAGTTTATGCCAGCAAAACTCAGCTTTTGCCAACATAACTTGTTCCAGGTCAGACAAATGAAACTCTAAGCTTTGTTTCTCAGAGCTGGAGAAAGGGCTGTACACTCATGACATGCCTGCACGTAGACTTTCATCAGTGTAGCTCCATCAGTCATATCTTCATACACTGTATTGACACTGAAAGGCTGCCAAGGAAATGCATAGACCTAGCACTAGTTTCTTGAGCTCACGGTTTCTGATGCTTACAGATTTAAATCATGGTTAATACCACAATGTTTCCTGTTTCTAATAAAAGATGTGATAATATCTAAACAATCCTCTGGTGTCCATTATGCACATAGTTGTTTAGATACTTTTTTCGATGCAGATATGGCTTCTATTATAGCCAACGATGTTTCAAAATCACTTTAAAAATCTGCTTGGTAAACAACAGCCTAAAATGAAAGTGCTGACATACAGCTGCCCAAGTAAAAATTCTGTAACAAACTTATATTTAACCCTATCTATACTTAAAAGTTCTGTATTTAGATTATAGTGTTTGATGCCCTATTTTTTTCCACTGAATTTAATTTAGCATTTCATTCTTCCTGCTAGATACCACTTGAGATGACTGTATGCACATGCTGATCCCCTTAAATGCTTTTGAGCAGAAACTACTGTTCAGAAACTCATAACATTACATTACATGCCCTTGCCCTTTCCCTCACTTTGCAGATGCAGAGGAATAGGCTATACGACACCAGTAATCTCATTTACTACTATCAGTTTGCCACCTTAACCCAGTTTGCAGAAGGCCGTCATTATCCTCCATCTCACAAACTTCATACATTTTAGCTGGAAAAAAAATAATTCTGAGCCATAACAATACCGCCAAAAAAAAGGAAATGCTTATTAATAAATGTCAACAATGGAACAAGTTCCCTCTAAAATTGCAGTGCTAGTAGCTAAGGTGTTACTGCTATTGATCTGTAATCACCGCTCTGGGAACAATCAAGAATACTGAACATGAAGCAAGAACACTTTTTTTTTTTCATTTGACCAGAAGAAGAAACCTTGCAAAATAAATTTAATTTGGGTAGAAGAGTGATAATTAACATGCAATACAGCACTAAACTTCCCAACAGCTTAGGGCCAGAGGTCAGCTTGCATTTTTATACATTTACAATTCAATATTTCTAATTGTTTTTATCCATGCTTGCTGACTATTCTCAAAAGATTAAACTCCTATAGTCCTCTGCTTCAGAAATGTGCCATTGCTCAGCTTTTTATTCCATAATTTACTAACATAATGAGAGATACTAAATCACAAAATTACAGTTCTTGAAAACTTGTGAATGTGAAGACTTTTCTAAAAAAAACCACTGGACTTCTTCTTCCAGCAAAATAAAGGCAAACTCCACGTGCTGGACAATATTCCCACGCTATTTTGATGACAGCAAACTTCTGCTTAAAATGAAACTGTTCTTTGCAAAAAAAAAAAAAAAAAAAAAAAAAAAAAAAAAAAAAAAGTCCTAGTACTGGGGCAATACTGCAGCTGCACCTGGGCTTTATTGCTGTGAGGTACAATACGCTGCTAAACACAGCACGTCTGGGGAAGTGGATGGTGGAAGTGGGACCTGTTTGCCCTTTTTAAAACATAAATGGGAAGCACCAAGGGTAATTCAGCAGCAGGACGGCTTACCAGGTCAGAAAGTCTTTCCTTTAACAACTTACCCAAATTTCAAGTTTGCAGCCAACTGTCCTAGTCTGTACTGTTCCCCAGCACCTGCGACTGCTATTTCATAATTCAGGCTAACTAGGCTAAACAGCGTTTCAAACTTCTTCTTCCACTGCTTAGATTCTTTTATTCCTATAGCAGGTAACAGTGACAGGAAAAGACAGTCACAAAATGATAGACTGTTGAAACACTGAAACTTTTATCATTCACGTGATTATCATTTATATAGTTATTTTCCAGAATTCTAGGAAGTCTCCACTGGAACAGCTTCAAGTATCCTTTCAATAAAGCACAAACACCTTCAATGAAGGAAACTATCCAGCGTGAATACAGAGGAGAGATCCCAAGTCGAATTCCCCATGCAGCTACCTCGATGTAAGCAAGGACATCATTAAGGACAGTGATGCTTCGGCAGGGACAAGACCACTTGGTTCCCCAGGTGGCTGGGTGTGCTTTCCCTGTTGCCAGAGGATGAAAAATGGGATGGCCATTCACTCACTCCTGCGTTTCGGACAGGGGGCTAACTGAGCACCCCGAAGCCTTAAGCCTGTAACATGAGGTGCACTTACAGACGTGTTCAGTCAGTTTGCCCTAATTCCTGCTATCCTCTTCCTTCCCCATCTTTGGACTCACACCCTGAGCCTGTGCACACACCAGGTACACCGCCACAGCCTCTAGTGCTGAAAGGAGGCGAGAGATTTTGCTCCGAGTTGGACACCCGAACCTTTCAGCCTCAGAATCACGCTCCGACTTCACAAGCTTCGCTCCCCGCCTCCCAAGCCCCTCGGGCTGCAGCAGCCCCTTCCCCACTGGGGCCATACCCTGCCCCTCAGGGCTCCCCCCGCCCCCAGCCACCCTGGGGCTCCCCCACGTCCCCGTGGGCCACCCCCTGCCCGTCTCCCGGAGGCCCCTCCCCGCCGCCGTGGCCCTCCCGCCCACAGCCCGCGGCGGCGGAGCCCCCCGCCTGCTCCCGACCCCGGCCCCGCCCGCCCTTACCTGTGCCCGGGAGCCGAAGTCGGGCGGGCGGCGAGCGGTCGCCAGCCGGGCTGGGGTCTGCAGGTTGATGGGGGAGCTCTGGGGGGGCTCCACGCCGCCCAGCCCGCCGTTGAGGTGCGCTGTCACCATCGCGATGGGCGCCTTGGCCGGCACGACGGAGATGGCCAGGTTCTGCGCGGGGCTGCCGCCGGGGCTCCCGCCGCCGCCGCCGGGTGCCTTGAGGAGCGCCGGGACGCCGCCGCCTCCGCCGCCGCCAGGCTTGGCGCTGCCGCTGGCGCCGCTGCCCACCAGCAGAGCCGCGGGGCGGCTCCTCACCGCCAGCTTCTGCCGGGGGAGAGGAGAGAGAGAGAGAGAGGCGCCATCGTCACCGGGACGAGGAAGGACCGGGGCCCCGCCGCCCGCCCGGCCGTGTCCGAGGGCGGCTGCCGCAGGGTGGCGAGAGGGGGAGGCCGGGCCAGGGCTCGTGGAGCAGAGCCCTCCAGCTGAGTTCCTCTTGGGCTCACCCCAAACGCCGCCCGAGCCCTTTCTCGACTCCCCTTAAACTCTACCTCTTCTTCTTCACAGCGCTGCTTTCAGGTTGCTCCAGAGTGGTTCCTCTCGTTTGTATCACCAACACCATCTAGGTAGGGTATCTCCTCTAAGCACTGTTTGAGATTTGTACAGCCACTGTGAAGCTGCCGTCTGGTGTCCGCTACTGCTGCTGTCTGGTACTTAATCCTGCAAAGGCTTCTGCCCGTATTTAACTTTATTCACAGCGTGGTCCTGAATTGGCTTTAGTGAAATTGCATCTACTGTGTAACCTTCCAGGAAGGTTCCACATTTGTAGGTCTGCTGCTGTACTAGCAAAGCCATTAAGAGTCTTGTCTACTTGATTAAAATACTGCATATATGTGTATGCGTGTGTGTATAAACACACAAGTGTGCTTAGTTCTTTTAAAAACGAAGACTGAAAACTGTTCTGGCCATAAGCAGAAGCTGTGTAGTACAAAACAGATGTTTAAGGAAATACCTACCTTCTTCCCTTTAAACCTGCTATATACTTTGAAGCTATAAAGCCTTAGTGGTCACACATGTTTGCTCTAGGGACCGTAGGTTTTGTGTTTGTATGAAATTAAAAGCATGCATTTTATTAGAGATAGCTGCTTCATTTTTATATAAAGAAACATTGTGGGTTTTTTTTCTTCAATACATCAACATTATTCTAGTAACTGTGACTTCATAGAAATTGTTTGAAGCTTTGTTTGGTTTTGTTTCATGCTTTTTTTTTTTTCTCCATTAACCTAACAGTCATCCCAGGAACCAATGGCAATGCTTTCCATATACTATGCTACTGTGTGTCATAGATCTTTTAAAGAAGAAGGGAGAATCTTTACTCTCAGCACAAAATTACATCTGTCTGTCAGTTTTAAAGTACTTTAGTGAAGGTTAACAGCTCAAGTGCATTTAATGTGTGTGCAGAAAGTTACTTACGACAAAATTCTGTAGAACTTGCATTTATCTGTTCCACTGGTGCTCCTTGCACTATCTCAGTGTCCTGGTAGTATGTTGTTCCAGATGCAAAACTACTGCATGCAGGACAGCTGAACACTGCCTCTTCCCAACTCTACTGAAAACTTCCTTGCATGGTGGCTTACAGCACAGTACAAAGCTTTCAAGTTAAGATTTCAGCTTTGTGGTTATGTCTTTGTTTTATGTCACGTGAACACCGCTAAAAGCTTACAGATGGCATGAAAACACCGTACGCTGTTACAGGGATGTAAATCCATTACTTAGAGTCCAGTGGAGTTAGTCCAGGAGTGAAATCCTAGTTCTGTTGCAGACAACCAGAGTTTTACTGCTGACACCAGTAGCCCTGTGACTTCTTTTTTGTGCAGCTAAGACTACTCTGCCCCTGAGGAGCCCATGTATTATTAAAATATATTTTAATGTTTGTCCCCCAAAAAGCAAACATATAGGTTACTAAATGAATGAACAACTTATGACAAATATTTGGTCTTATTGCACTGATTGCATATTTTCACTTAAATAAAACTTTTAATATGTAATCTCCTAATGGCATTAATACAGCTTTGCCTTTTTTTTCTCAGGCAACAGAAAACATCAAAGCAAACAAATCTCCAAGATCCCAAAAGATCAATATGTGGTAGATCAGTCGTACAGGCAAGTAAATAAATAGATTATTACTTTCCTGACAGAATTTAATAGCTAGTAATTGTTTTTTCTCTCGTTCCAATAGGGGAAAATATCCTGAGAAGTACAAAAGCAGAAATTCTGCAAACAAACAAACAAAATAAAATCACTACTCAAACAACCATCTGTCTATTTTCTGCCGTTCTCCCTACGTACATTAACAATGAGTTAGTTTTGTGACTCTTTGCACATGATACGTGTTAGTGTTTTGTCAATAAATTGAAAAAAATGTCTACGTGTATTTATGGAACAAAAAAAATATTAAAGGAAGTAAGTGCTACTGCTTGCTTCAAAGTCTAATTTGAGATAAACATTAAACACTCAATGTTGACTGTTCACCTCCTAGTGGAAAGCTTATGTTTTAATTTTGGTTCTTGACCTTTTGGGGGAAAATACAAAAAATACATGAATTCTGTCCCTGGGCTTGAAAGGACCAATCCACCCATGCCAGCTACTTCCACAGGGATCAATGGTATACGAATTTTATTTAAATAACTGCAAATTGTAGAAATTGAATATGAAAGCATACACAACAGATCAGGTGTTCCAGATAAGCTTCCAAAAAGGAGTTACAGAAACTGGGGAAACAGAGATATGGAATCTCTTCTGTGTCTCAGTTAATAACTTTCTGGAAAAAAAAAAAAAAAAAAAAAAACCTTCAAAAATGTCCCCCTTAATCAGATTATGCTAGTAAGAGAAGAGAGAGAATGCCCTTTTTCTTTGTAATGATCACTTTTACTTACAGAATCATAGAATGGCCTGGGTTGAAAATGACCTTAAAGATCATCTAGTTTCTACCCCCCTGCTCTGGGAGGGTTGCCAGCCACCAGAGCAGGCTGCCCAGAGCCACATCCAGCCTGGCCTTGAACGTCTCCAGGGATGGGGCATCCACAACCTCTCTGGACAACCTGTTCCAGTGCCTCACCACCCTGTGAGTGAAAAGCTTTCTCCAAATTTCTAACCCAAATCCCCCGTTTTAGTTTAAAACCATTCCCTCTTGACCTATCACTATTGTCCTATCACTATCCACACATATAAACAGGCGTTCACCCTCCTGTTTATATGCTCCCTTCAAGTACTGGAAAGCCGCAATGAGGTTTCCCCGGAGCCTTCTCTTCTCCAAGCTAAACAAATCCAATTCCCTCAACCTTTCTTCATAGGAGAGGTGCTCCAGCCCTCTGATCATCTTAGTGGCCCTACTCTGGGCCTGTTCCAAGAGCTTCATGTCCTTCTTGTGCTGGGGGTCCCAGGCCTGCACGCAGTACTCCAGGTAGAGGTCTCACAAGAGCAGAGTAGAGGGGGACAATCACCTCCCTTGATTTGCTGGACACCCCTTTTTTGATGCAGCCCAGGACATACTTCTGGACTGCAAGTGTGCGCTGCTGGTTCACATCCAGCCAGCTTATTTTCCAAGTCCTTTTCCACAGGGCTGCTCTCAAGTTCTTCTCCCAGTCTATATAAATACCTGGGATTGCCCCAGCCCAAGTGGAACACCTTGCACTTGGCCTTGTTGAAACTCATCAGGTTCTCATGGGCCCACTTCTCCAGGTCATCCAGGTCTCTCTGGATGGCATCCCTTTCCTCTATTGTATTGACAGCACTGCTCAGCTTGGTGTCATCTGAAAACTTGCTGACGGTGCACTCAATTTCATCATCTATGTCACTCATAAAGATGTTGAAGCACACCGGTCCCAAGACTGACCCCTGAGGGACACCACTTGTGACTGGCCTCCACCCAGACAACCACAACCCATTGGCTGCGACCAGACAACCAATTCTTTATCCACCTAACAGTCCATCCTTCAAATCCATACCTTTCCAAATTAGAGAGAAGAATGTGGTGAGGGACCATGTGAAAGGCTTTGCTTAAGTCCAGGCAGATGATATATCCATCACCCTTCCTTTGTCCACCGATGCCATCACTCCATCACAGAAGGCCGCCAGACTGGTTAGGCAAGATCTGCCTTTGGTGAAGCCGTGCTGGCTGTCTCAGATCACCTCTTTATCTTGTGCATGCCTTAACATGTCTTCCAGGAGGATCTGCTCCATGATCTTCCGAGGCACAGAGGTGAGGCTCACCGGCCTGTAGTTCCCCAGGTCTTCCTTTCTCCCTTTCTTAAAAATGGGAGTAATGTTTGTCCTTTTCCAGTCTCCATGGACTTCACCTGACAGCCATGATTTTTCAAACATGATGGAGAGCAGCTCAGCAACCACATCAGCCATCGCTCTCCACACCCTTGGATGTATACCATCTGGCCCCATGGACTTATACACATCCAATTTCCTTAGGCAGTGCCAGACTTGTTCCACAGTCACACTGGGTTGGAATCTGCTCACCTTACCATCTCCTTGAGGTTCAGGGTCCCAACAGACATAGGAAACTTGATCACCAGTGAAGACTGAGGCAAAGCACTTATTGAGTACCTCAGCTTTTTCCATGTCTGAGGAAGTCAGTTCTCCCATCTCGTTTATCAGAGGGGGAACACTCTCCTTGGCCTGCCTCTTCCTGCCTATGTATCTGTAGAACTCCTTGTTATTCTTCACATCTCTTGCCGAGTTCAGCTCCATCTGTGCCTTGGCTTTCCTGATCCCATCTCTACGCATCCAGACGACACCCCTGTATTCCTTCCAGGCTACACAACCCTGCTTCCACTTCTCATACACTTCCCTCTTTTCCATCGGTTTAAGCTGCAGGTCCTTGCTCAGCCGTGCCAGTCACCCACCTCCTTTGCTCAATTTCTTCTGCTGGAGGATGGAATGCTCTTGCGCTCTCAGAAGGGCATCCTTAAAGAGCTGCTAGCTCTGTTCCACTAATATGCCCTTAAGGACAGTTTCCCAGGGGAAACCAGCCAGTAATTCCTTAAGCAGCTGGAATTTTGCTCTCCTGAAGTTCAGGGTCCTGACTCTGCTTTTTGCCAGACCCATATTCCTCAGAATCCGCTGTGCCACTACCACAGAAGATGCCTGGGTAGCTGAAATCCCCCATCAGGACAAGAGCTTGTGAGCATGACAGTTCTTGCAGCTGAAGCAAGACCTCATCAACAGACTCCCCCTGATCAGGTGGCCTGTAGCAGACCCCAACCACTACACGTCCTTTACCAGACCAATCCTTGATTTTCACCCACAAGCTCTCAACCTGGTCATGGCTGTTTCTCAGGTGCAGCTCTTCACAATCTATCCACTTCCTAACATAGAGGGCAACTCCTCCTCCCCTCCTTCCTCACCTATCCCTTTTGGACAGTTTGTAGCCATCAACAACCATACTCCAGTCATGGGAATCATCCCACCAGTTTTCCATGATAGCAACTACATCATACATGTAGTTCCCTACTGGTGGCCTCCAGCTCCTCCTGTTTGTTACCCATACGGCGTGCACTAGTGTAAATGCACCTCAGCCGGGCCACCTTTTGGGAGGGAGAAGCCTTAATACCCTCTTGACGATACTCAGGTGTTTCCATGGTTACCAACCTCTCATCAACCCTTGTGTCCTTCCTGCAAAATGTTATGTCACCCTCATCCTTCACCAAGACACAAGACTACGAGGTCTTGCTAGCACATTCCTCACCCACAAGAACTGGCATGTTACATTCAGGCTCCTTTAAAGTGTTCCCGTTTCCACCCCCACCCCCCTTCATACCTACTTTAAAGCTCAATGAGCCCTGCCAACTCCCATCCTAAAATCCCTTTCTGTTGGAGGAAAAAGCTATTCCTGTCTGTTATCAGCTGGCCTGGTCTCATGTAAATTGACCCAAGGTCAAAAAAACAAAACCCTGCCGGTGATACCAGGCTTTGAGCCAATTATTAACCCACTGGCTCATCATGTCCAGTCCCTCCTTATTTCCTATAACTGGAAGGATAGAGGAGAACATGACTTGTGCTCCTGAACCCTTGACCAGTTTCTCCAAGGCTCTGAAGTCCTTCTTCATAGCCTTTAGGGGAGTTCTTCCTATTTCATTGCTGCCTACTTGAAACAACAAAAGAGGATAATAGTCCATGGGCCATACTAGCGAAGGAAGTTTCTTTCTTACATCTTTAACCCAGGACTCTGGGAGGCACCTCCCTTTGTAGCAGGTCTGTTCTGCATATCGGGCCCTCCGCTCCCTTCAGCAGTGAGTCACCAATGACAATGACCCGTCTTTTTACTGAGGAGGTTTTATAACCCCATACTTCATACCCCCATGAGGGCATTGAAGGCATCAAAGTGCTGGCAGACACAGAGACACAAAGATTATGATATGAGAGGTTAAAAAAATCCTCAACAAAACCTACATCTGCTGTATTCTATTTCTGCCAGTTTAATTAAAAGAATAATCATAGTTTTTAAAGAGCGAAAATCTTCATTTTGAGAATCAGGGAGCATAACATATTCTCTGATACTTTTGGAATGATGAATAATAAGAAACTAAACATGCCTTGGACACCGCAATGGAAAACATGCTGATATAATGGAAGGGAAGGAAGGAAGGAAGGAAGGAAGGAAGGAAGGAAGGAAGGAAGGAAGGAAGGAAGGAAGGAAGGAAGGGAGGGAGGGAGGGAGGGAGGGAGGGAGGGAGGAAGGAAGGAAGGAAGGAAGGAAGGAAGGAAGGAAAGCATTTGGGACTGTTAGTGTTAGGTTAGAGGTTGGACTCGATGATCTTGAGGTCTCTTCCAACCTAGAAATTCTGTGATTCTGTGATTCTGTGAAAAAACTATTGGCTCTAAATGCTGGAAAGCAGGTCGCTGTTTCTTATCCACAGCATAACAGTCCTCACAATACACCAATTTTGAAGCAGCGCCTTTTCAATAGCAACACAACTTTAATTTTCACTGCAGGATGCCACAGGCAAACTGGAGTTTGAAATATGTATGCCAGTCACATGCAAACACACCACAATGTGCTGGAAAGCTGCCGCTTGTTTATGATTTCCTATCTTGCATGTGGCACAATCTCAACTACTCAAAACAGAGCTAATATTTTTTCCATATGTATCAAAATAGCCTAGGCCCTTCTATTTCTTTTCCCACGTAACCCCCCTTCCCTCCTTTCCTCTGCAGGCTTACAGGTGAGAAGCCAGCTTTTGCCTCTCCCATCACAAAATGGAGACCTTTCCGCTCAGGGGATAAAGAAATGCAAAAAGCCATGGGAGAGAGGGGCTGAAGAGACTTGTGCTGTTGTGATACCCACCCTGAGCAGCACAATACATGGCTGCACATTCTATAGCCGGGCTCCACACGGGCAGCACCGCTGCTTCTAGCGTGAGGTTGCAATTTCTTCATTTTTCCTCTGCTGCAGTTTCTATTGCTTCTTCAAATCCATACCAAGCTGATGCCAACTTTATTTTGCACATAAATCTCAAAT